TTTGACCCTTGATTATTTTATTTAGCCCAAGGCTTCTTGTAAATAATTTCATTTTCTTTACTCGGTGATGAATCTTGGATATTCAGTTTGAAACGCGGATGGCCAACGCAGTTTCAAGTTAAATATCTAGTTTAGTCACTACATCTATAACCTTGATCACATTAAAGTTTGAAACCATAACATCATACCACTCATCCATATTTCTGTTAATCCTGATGTTACGTATTCTTCGTCTCCACTTCAATCCAATTTTAAGAATCTTGTAATTACTATTATGAATACATGAAGTTGTGCTGTGTGAACACCTTAGGATAATTAAACTCTAACTTAAGATTAGTTGCTTACCCATAAAGAATTGCCTCTGTAGTTAGAATTTGACCTACGCCTCACCCCATTCAAAGAAAAACAAATGGTGGACCATACTTCGAGATAAGTAATAACATGAACTTGCAAGCAACAATAGAAATGTGGTACCAGGAAATTGAAACCTTAAAAATGGACTAGTAACCGTGGCTAAAATCCCGAACCTTATCAAGAATGAAATTTTGGAGGAGTCTTACCATCTTTATGGAAATAATCGGCACAACATTGACTTCAGAATGAAAGGAGGTAGAATCCAAGAGGATTTGGAGCTTGTGGAAAGGAAACTCAACTTCATGAATATACCCTACTCCGACCTCATCTTAAAAATAGACTCGTTACTCGTACCTTAGCAATTATCGATAGTTACCAAAAGAAGGAGATGACTTACCCATCCAATGGAGCATGTTTTCAGTTTAAGGAGGATAGACAAGACTCCATGACTTCAACGAAATGTAGGACGTAGTGGCGCGATCAACTTGTGGGTAGGATAACAAGTCTGATTTTAAATGAGGAGAGCCAAGAAAAATTAGAACTTCCATGCGCAGTATGCGAATATGCAGATGTATTTCCTATGGAGTTACCAGGATTGCCACTAACCCGGGAGGTAGACTTGAGCATTGAGCTACAACCTGGAACTACCCCAATATCCATGGCCCCGTATTGCATGGCACCAGCAGAACTACAAGAATTGAAGACACAACTATAGGAATTACTCGAGAAAGGATTCATTAGGCCAAGTCCTTCACCATGGGGAGCATCAGTGTTGTTTGTTAAAAAGAAGGATGGGTCGTTAAGGCTATGTATTGATTATCGTCAACTCAATCGAGTCACGATTAAGAATCGATACCCACTCCCAAGGATTGATGACCTTTTTGACCAACTTAGAGGCTCAAAGTGCTATTCAAAGATCGATCTTAGGTTAGGTTACCATCAAATATGAGTTAAGGAGGAGGATATACCAAAAACTGTCTTTCGTACTAGATATGGCCACTATGAGTTTGTAGTAATGCGCTTCGGACTAACCAATGCACTGGCAGTATTCATGAGCCTAATGAATATGATCTTTAGACCATACCTTAACCAGTTTGTAGTAGTGTTCATTGATGACATCTTGGTTTATTCAAGGTCTGAAGAAGAGCATGAGCAACATTTAAGGACTGTCCTTCAAGTTTTTAGGGATAATCGGTTATATGCCAAGGCGAGTAAATGTGAGTTCTGGTTGAATGAAGTAAAATTCTTAGGGCATGTAGTATCAGAGAATGGGATTACGGTGGATCCAACTAAGGTGGAGGCAATATTAGATTGGGGACAACCAAAAACTGTGTCAGAAATCCGCAGTTTCTTAGGATTGGCCGGTTATTACCGGAGGTTCATCCGAGATTTCTCCAAACTAGCTAAATCAATGACTCGTTTGACGCAAAAAGGAGTAAAGTATGAGCAGGACAAAGCTTGCGAAAAATCCTTCCAAGAGCTAAAGAAGGGGTTAGCTAGTGCGCCAATTTTGACCATCCCAGAACGGGAAGTGGGGCACACTGTGTATTGCGATGCGTCTAAAGAAGGATTAGGTTGTGTGCTCATACAAAATGGAATGGTAATCGCGTATGGATCTAGGTAGTTGAAACCACATGAGCGCAACTACCCCACACATGACCTGGAATTAGCGGCCGTAGTTTTTGCCCTAAAACAATGGCGACATTACCTGTATGGGGAATAATTTGAGATTTTCACAGATCACAAGAGTTTGAAGTATCTGTTTACTCAGAAGGACCTTAACTTGAGACAGAGACGATGGATGGAGTATCTTGAGGATTTCCAGTTCACTCTCTCATATCATTCCAGTAAAGCCAATGTAGTAGCAGATGCTCTCAGTCATTCCAGTAAAGCCAATGTAGTAGCGGATGCTCTAAGTCGCAAGAGCAAAGGAGTGATGGCAAAGATTTTCATCAAAGAATGAGATATGGTTAAGACACTCAATGAATTCAAGATCTAAGTAGAATCTCAAGATACAAAAGCATGTCTTAATGCACAAAAAGTGATGCCTAAGTTGATGAATGAGATCATGGAGGCCCAGAAGCACGATCAAGAGGTAGCCTATATCAAGGGACATCTGGAATCAGGAGAACCAATGTCCGATTGGGTAATTCACCCCGATGGGAGCTTAAGATACCAAGCTAGATTGTTTGTACCAAGTGATGAGCTACTTAGAGAAAACGTACTTAAGGAATGTCATCATTCTGCATTTGCAGTACATCCAGGAGGGACTAAATTGTACCAAGATTTGAAGAGGCAGTATTGGTGGAATGGAATGAAGAAGGAGGTGGCTAAATTTGTAGCAAAATGTCTGACATGCCAACAAGTGAAGGCGGAACATCAAAACCCAGGGGAGATGTTGCAACCTCTATCAATAGCTGAATGGAAGTGGGAGTTTGTGACAATGGATTTTGTGACAGGGTTGCCTAAGTCACCTACAGGACGCGATGCTATATGGGTAATAATGGATCGCCTCACCAAGTCAGGACATTTCTTACCCTATAAGATGACCAACAGTTTGGAGTCTATGTGCAAGCTCTATATTGGGGAGATCACTCGACTACATGGAATTCCAGTGTCTATTGTGTCAGATCGTGATCCACGGTTCACCTCTCGATTTTGGGGAAGCCTGCATGAAGCTCTTGGTACGGAGTTGTGTTTTAGCACCGCCTTTCACCCGTAAACGGATGGACAATCTGAATGCACCATCCAGACACTCGAAGATATGTTGAGAGCTTGCACAATGGATTTTCAAGGAAGTTGGGAACGACACCTACCCCTAATTGAATCCGCCTATAACAATAGCTTTCAAGCTAGCATCGGTATGGCGCCCTTTGCAGCATTATATGGACGACCTTGTAGATCACCGATTTGTCTGGCGAAAGTGGGTGATGCAAATCTGATAGGACCCGAACTTGTTCTAGAAACTACTGAGAAGGTCAAATTGATCCGACAACAGTTAAAGATTGCTCAAGACTGTCAAAAGAATTATGCAGATAGGAGAAGAAGGCCATTGATGTTTGAAGTAGGTAGCCACATGTTTCTAAAGGTGCAACCTAGGCGTGGCGTCGTACGTTTCGGGAAAAAGGGAAAGCTGTCACCACGATATATTGGGTCTTTTGAAGTATTGGAAAGATTGGGCGAAGTAGCATATAGACTAGCTCTACCTCCGCAGTTAGCAGGGATACACGACGTCTTCCATATATCTATGTGGAGAAAATACATCGCTGACCCATCAGACGTCCTCAAATGGGAAGAAATCAGTCTTGACAAAGATGTTACATTTAAGGAAGGACCGGTAGCAATACAGGATAGTCGAGAGAAGAACCTTAGAGGCAAAATGGTTCACTTGGTAAAAGTACTGTGGCATCATTGGGGAATTGAGGAATCTACTTGGGAATGCCAGGATTGGGTGAAGGCAAACTACCCCGAGCTTTTTCGAAGGCAGTATGTAGTTGTATTTTGGGGACGAAATTGTTTTAAGGGGGATAGGTTGTAAAGCCCCTAAAAAATGTTTTCTCTTTAAAAACCCTAATGTTTAAATTATTTTCTTAAAGCCCTCAGTTACTTGAATTATTTCGAATCTTGTCGGTTAGCATTTTTTTTATCAAAACAGGAATAACCTAGCTGAATTAGGTTCCTTAGCCTAATTTAATTAAATTCTACATAAGTAAGGTTCCAATACATGAATTTAACTCCAAGCTCTCACTTTTGTATTTCCCCAAAACTAGTACATGTACCTTATACTATAAGTACCATCAATTAATTGAGACCTATATAAATATATACATTGAGGAATGTGCTCCTAGTACCTAGATTGATTAAAAAATGGCCCATCACCCTTCCCAATGGCCGGCCACCCTAGAGAGAAGTGAGAAGTCTATTTTCAAGATTTATAATCATGGTATTCTAGAAACCCAAAAGAACTATTCAACTAGGAATTAACTTGGGGTTTCCTAATCCCAAGGTTAAGCTCCCTAATCACTCCTAATCCATTGAACTCCAAGTAAATCCTAGCTTGTCCATTCAATTCTAACTAGTGGGCTTCTATGTCATTTTACACCAAATTTGCCTATAAATATCACCACCCCCTAGCATGGAAAACACAAACAACACACTCACAGACACATTCGGCCTAGAGGAGAGAAGGAGAACAAGAGAGAAGTTTTGAGAGGGAGAGAAAGGAAGAGGGGAGCCATCTTGTTCAAAGCCTAGCAAGTAAGCCACAACACAACTTTCTCTTTCATTTTCCTTTTTCAAATACATGTTCTCAAGGGTTCTAAGCATTGTTTTCAGATGTGTTATTGATGAGTTACTTGTGTTAAAAATGATAAGGGTTGAGCCATGATTCTACCTCTCTTGTAGTTCCCTCATTTCGGTACAAAACTATCTTTTTCATACCAATCTCTCAAACTTTCCAAAGGCACACCTTCAAGTAAATTTTCTGAGTTTAATATATGTTAGTTAGTATGTTTTCATCACAAAAGAAATGAAAATTTTCCCGTAGTGGATCTCTTTTCTCACAAATCTTCTTGTTTTAGGTATTGTGCCTTAGAATCTATTTTCGCAGACAAATTTCAAAATTTCTAGGAAAATGTAGAAAATTATTTTGTGCCTCTATTTTATGTCAGAGTCTTCTTTAAGGAGTTAGCTTTCAACTAAAATTAGTTTCATTGAAAAACAATGAGAGGTTTGCAAGAAAATCAAATTTTTGTAACGGTCGACGAATCTGGATAGAGCTGGAGTGTTTTCTAAATAATTTAAAATCTAGAAAAGCTATCCCATTTCCAAAATATGTTCTGAAAACTAGATTAAATTCTCTACGAACCATAGGAAGGCCGAGTCTGGTGAAAAATCTAAAATAGTCCTTTCATTCTAATCCTTATGTGATATTGAATTTGGAAATTTTGTTGTGCATGGATGTTTTATGCTCTTGTGTTCATGAAAATGCTTATTAGCTTATGATCATATCCTGGCATGATATTATATGTGTTATGGTTATCTTCTTTATCTTCTTCATCTTAATGATGCATGCTTACATGGATATTATTATCTTGTTAAGTTAGTTTAACCTTGATTTGAAACATTTAACTCAACGGAAAACTTAATTGGGATGGTATTGGGTTTTCGATCTTTTGAGTAATGGAAAGATGATAATATGTGATGTATGGATTGTTGGGATGCGTTCCCTATTCGAAAGTTAAAGTCTTGTGCAAGTGGTTTTCGGAACCCTTGAACGGAGCGGTTGTATTCGGACCCTAGGTGGTTTGGTGTGAGGAGGCATTCGGGCAAGGCCCTATTTTACCATCTCTTTTGTGGCCCTGCGGTTGGCGCTACGCGGTATATAACCGTTGGTAGGAAGCCGAGGTTAGTTTTGCAATAAAGCAGCAAAAGAGGGGGCATACCGAATAATCCGAGTCCGATTCTTGTGGTTGGGAGGACAAAATCTCTTTGGGGGATTTCTAGTTTACTAGCATCTAACTTGTAACCCTTTATTTATTTAGTTGAGTATCATGGTTTACTACTTGATGTTATATTTGTGATTGTGTATTGGACTGGGAAAAAGGGACGGGGTGTGTGTTTGTTTACTGGGCATTCAAAGCTCAGGGCGTATCATGCCAGGTGCCGAAGAGGAGCTTATAGCTGAAGACGACGAGCCTGAAACCTTCGAAGACTTTTGGCTATCTTAGAAAAGTTAAAAATTTCCCTTTTGGTATTTTGTAAGGCTCATATGAAGATTTAAATTTTCTTTTTGGGATGTAATGTAATGGAACAAGCTTTTGAAATTAAGGATATTCGTGGTTGTTATGTACTCATATTCTAATACTTATATATATACACCTTATCGTTGCATATGAGACCTTGTGTCAATACCTGTTAAGATCTATCAAAAGGTAGTGCGCTGCCTAAGAAAGCTGGACATAGAAGGGAGGCTAATTTGACTCCTCCGGCGATCTGGGATCTTACTTGGTTATTGACCATAGGACTCAGTAGTGACTCTCCCTTGACTGCAACCAATAGTGTAGATTCGGGGCGTCACAACGACCATGTAGGATGAGACCAGTGTTGTAATACAACTTCTATCTGGGGCATCTACCACACATCCAATCCTAAGGCCCTAGCCGAACCTTAACCCACCTCCACCAGCTGAAGATTTGCAAGGTCCAGATCCTCGAGAAGGGTTGGCTCAAGCTCGAGTTTTCAGACCCCTAGTGCAGCCTAATGAGGGGCTTTTTCCCCTTGATATTAATGATCTCAACCCGACTTTGTTAAAAATTGCCAACCTTGAGAAGCAATTCAAAAAGGCACAAGGACTTAACTCCATTCCCTGACATTAAGGATGGGTGCATTGAGGGTACCGTAAGGCTCCCAGACAGATTCAAAATGCCGTACATTGATCATTTTGACGGGTCTGGAGATCTTATGGTACATATCTGGCTTTCCTTAGACGTCCTAAAACTGATGGGTCTACCTAAGCCTTAAAGACTCTCTCTGTATGGAAGAACCTTGTCGGGTATAGCAGCCATTTTGTACGCCAAGTTGGCGGATAAAGTGAAGTAGAACAGGGAAGATTTGGCTGAGGCATTTGTCAATCAGTATTCTTACAATACCCAAATTGAAATGACCACCCAAGAGCTTGAAACAACCCATCAAAATCCTATAGAACCTTTTGTGGAATTTATTGTAAGGTGGAGAGCAAAAGTAGCACAAATGATAGATCGACCTTCTGAGTGGGACCAAGTGCAGATAGTGGTGCAGAACCTTGAGCCTGATATGTTACAAAAGTTAATACTCACTCCACTGTTCAGTTTCAAAAATTTGCATGAATTAGGAGTTCAGATTGAGAGCTCATTTAACAAAGGGATTATTCTTAGAACAAGCGAACCAATAATAAGGGTGTTTTCCGGGAGTACCAATGCTAGCAGTAGCACTATTCCCAAACCCACTGAAATCAATACTGTCGCCACTCACAAAATTGCCTACCCTTTTGCCAATACCAACCCACAAACACCCAATCCAACCCGAGCTCAAGGCAAAACTTTCACCACCCCCACATATGAACCTAACTAACGCACTAAAAGTCCTGATGGAAAGAGGGTATCTCAAACCCTTTTATCCCTAACCTCTTCTTGACCCACTCCCTGCTAGACATAACCCCACAAAATACTGTGCGTACCATCAGCAACGCGGTCATGGCACCAATCGTTGCTACTGCCTTCGTCATGAGGTTTAGAATCTCATCGACAATCAAACGATAGCTCCACCTCAAGAACCCAATGTTACCACCAACCTACTTCCCATCCATGACCAAGTATCTTATCCTCACTTTAACCTCTTCCATACACTACCACCTCCCTTCAACCCTAACATATACATCACCCCGGCCCATTTACCTGAGCCCGAGGTGTTCATTCCAAAAAGCACTGATTTGTGCATGATGGATACACCCACTCCGGTTCAGACACATCAAAAGCGCCAAATGGATGAACCCACTACTACTGAGATGTTGAGAATGATTCAAGACCTTCAAGGAACGGTGGCAGATTTAATCTTTGGGGTTTCAACCCTATCAAAGGATTCTCCAATCTTGGGACAAGCTAAAGGTGGAATGGGCCAATCAAAAGCAAACAGGCCTTGCCCAGATATAGCCGTCCGACTCTTTGACAAGGCTGAAACAAGTGGCAAGAACAAGGTTGAGGCAAGTATTGATCCCTATACACATTTTCGGTTGGCTATTGAGACTTTGAAGGTCAAAGGGTTGAACAAACAGCAAATGCTTTCAGTTGTTGCAAAAACTGTGGATGACAGGTTTATTGCTTAGGTTGAGAGCATTTTGAATCAGGGGGCAAGCCGTGAAAAGGGACACTTTACCAGAAACACCCATCCTGATTCCAGTCCCAAGCCCATAAATACCCAGCCAACACCCGCCCACCCATTTGCCAATATTTCTAACATTGATGCTTCCTCCACTTAAAAAAGAACCTTCGCCCATCTCTATATGAGCCCAACCTGTGCATTGAAGCTACTAATGGAGAAACGGTATCTCAAACCTCTCAATTCTTGACCTCTCCCTAATCCTCTCCTATTTAGACATGACCCCAACCAATATTGCGCATTTTATCAGCAGTACGGTCATCATAATAACCGTTGCTTTTGCCTTCGCCATGAAATTCAAGACCTGATTGACAATAAGGTCATTACCCCTCCTGAAAATCCTAAAGTTGTCACCATAACATAAATCCCATCCATGTCTTGCCTTAACCCCAACCAGTAGGGTCAATGAGATGTGTGAGGACAACCAGGGTGATTAGGAGGCTCAATCTGTGACCCAAAAGTCTGAAATCAATCCTACTGGGTGTGGATGTTAATGCTGAATTAAAGGAAACTTTGGACCCTCCAATGGGCTACTTGAATTTTTTTTGAATTCTGCAGATGGATTGGGAGAGTGAAAACCCCTTTTTGTCTCTAGGATGTTAATTTTGTTTTGAGTCATGTCTT